TTTTTTTTTTTTTTTTTTTTTTCCCCTTAATGGAAGCTGCATTCCTCTCATTTTCATTGCCTCTAAGGGACTTCCAGAAGCAAGACTGCTAAAGGACATTGGCAACTTAGTGGGATACCTCCAAAGTGTATTTTTGAAAGAAATGCTTGAACTATACTGGAACTGTCTACCCTTTTTGTGATTCTCAACAAACTTCTTTATTATTTAGTAGTGGACACTCCTCCCCCCCATTTGTCCTCTCATTTATTTTGTATGATTAGTTTTTATTTTTCTTTTCCTTAACAGTTAGATCTAAGTTTCTTATTAGCAAGAAACATTCTTGGTTATAAGTGGTCAACACAGTGTTTAACACATAATGAAGTTCAGAAAATACTGGTTGTATTAAAAGAAAATACTTCGGGACCAACAGTTAGCATAATGGCTATGTCGCTGAACTCTCACGTAGTCGACCATGGTTCGAGTCCCAGACCCGGTGGCTTAAACTCACGCCGGGCATATGTGCGTGCGTTCCCAAGATCCCGAGAGAAGAATGGAGGAGAAGAGATTGCAGCGTGGCCATCCCCTCTGGAGGGGGGGGGGGTGATTTCTCGCTTTCTAACTCTCTGTCTCTCTTTGTCTGTCTGGCAAGTGCATGTGCCCTATAGCAAAAACCTCTTCAAAAAAATACTTTTCACATATACATGCCTTCATTTTCTTTCACTTTGAGCCCACAGATACCAGGTAAATTACTTGAGTTTTAAAAATTTTTTTAAAAGTGTAGTTGTTTGTGTGTTTGTTCCATAAGCCAGAAAGACAGAAAGAAAGAGTGGTAGAGAGACAGCACCCTAAGTGAGTCTCAATACTGCAGTCTACCCCATCCTTTAACCCACCTCAAATCCTGAGCAGGTATATGTCAGACATCCTCTCTGACGTCTCTAGACTTGAACTGGTAATCTTTCCATCTGGGATTTTCTCAGAGCATGGCTCTGAGTGCCACACCACTGTCTGATCTCTACTACGTCTGAATAGATTATTATTTTTCAGTATAAGGTGTGTGTGCTCACCAGAGAAAGTGAGAAATCATCCTACCTCATCACCACCAGGATTTGCTGATCATACCACAATCCCTTTTCCTCCATTCTCCTCTCTGATTTAGGGCATATACACACATAGGCCTGGCATGCTTTTCAAGCCACTGTGACACAACTATGGAGTTGGCCGTGTAAGATTCAGTGCCTTGGGACCAGCAGTTAGTGTAATGGCTATGTCACTGAACTCTCATGTAGTTGACCGTGGTTTGAGTCCCAGACCCAGTGGGTTAAACATGCTGGGCACGTGTGCATGTGTGCCCAAGAGCCCAAGAGGAGAATGATGGAAGAGAAGGGATTGTGATGTGCCCACCCCCCTGGGGGGTGTGGTTTCTCGCTTTCTGTCTCTCTGTCTCTCTCTGTCTTTCTGGCCCGCTCATGCACCCTACAGCAAAAAACTCTCCAGAAAAATAAAAATAAAGATTCAGTGCCTTACCCACCGTGCCACCTGTGGTTGAATTCACCTGATTTTTAAACTACTATTTTTCTTTTTGTTTTCAATAATCCGTTACCTAAACTGCATTATTGGACTATGTTATGACTCAAGAATGTTTATAGTCTTCTTGTATACCCTCGGCGTAAATGATGGAATGCAAGTAGAACTACTACTGCTGCTTATATACAGGGATGTGACATTGGCTCTCAGCAATGGCTTGGGTAGGTAGAGAGGATAAACTTCTGGTGAATATTAATATGAAACAGGTCTGAGACAAAGGATTAAATTAAATGTGCATATTGACTAAGAATTGTTTTTCATGGTGACTTTGAGATATGCTATTTGTTTTATGATTTATTTAGAATCGGACCCTTAATGAGCCAAAATTAAAGAGCCAAGAGGCAAATTTGTGTGAAAGAAATACAATGCAGTGTAATTTGTTATTTATAAATGGGGCAAGAGCTACAATGTGGAGGTTATAATTTGCCATGGACAGGGTGCCATTTTCTACACTTATCCTATGAGTAAATTATGTTTCCTGTATGCTGAACTTTCTGAGAATTTTGATTTTTTTAAAATAATTAAGGCATATCCTTTCATTTGTATTCTTAATGCCATTTTTCCTGTATCTTTGGTGCCCTTATCTAAGTGTCATTTTCTTCCATATGGCATGCAACTGATTTTCTTTCTTTTTTTTTAAAGAATGATTTTATTTAACTTTATTTATTTATTTAAATTTTACCAGAGAGGAGCAGAGTAAGAGTGAGAGAGAGAGAGAGAGGTAAAATGAGAAAGTAAATCACCAGGTCTGGAACTTGAACCCCGGTCAGCCATGTGGAAGTTCAGCACTCTTAACCACCACGCCACCTGCCAGCCCCAGATTCTCTCTGTTTACCATACTTGAAAATGGAACTATCTCTTAAGATAAACTAGCTAAATTCCTATGAATAATCTTTGATACTTCTAGAGTTTCTCTCTATCCCATTATTTTCAAGTTGGTATATCATCTACCTTTACTATATCTCCCATATGTAATGCCTCTTTTTCCTTCTGATTACATATTTTCTTACCAAGATTATTTCAAAGGTCTTGCAAATAACTACAAATTTTTGTAGTTTATCCTGTGTAATGCTGTAGTTTGTAAAATATATCACTGCCTTAGTCACTCACTTGGTCAAAAACATTCCAACCGCAGTGCATGTAAATTTTTCTTTCCCTTTTTTGCTCCACCCAGCATATCATTTTAGACTTTTCTTTATATGTCTTAAGTTTTTTTTTTTTTTTTGGAGAGATTTTCACTGTAGGGCGTGTGCGCTCGCCAGACAGACAGAGAGACAGAGAGACAGAAAGCGAGAAATCACCCCCCAGGGGGGATGGTCACGCCGCAATCCCTTCTCCTCCATTCTCCTCTCGGGATCTTGGGCACGCACGCACATGCGCCCGGCGTGAGTTTTAAGCCACCGGGTCCGGGACACGAACCGCGGTCGACTACGAGGGAGTCCAGTGACATAGCCATTACGCTAACTGCTGGTTCCCTATATGTGTAAAGTTTTTAAAGTTTATTTATTTCTTCCTGAATGAGAGATACAGAAGAACACACACACACACACACACACACACACGTATACACATCAGTGTGTACCCCATGGGTTCTTGATGTCTCGATCTACCCCCAACCAGTCCTGAATCGTGGCACACTCATGCTAGCAAACTCAGGGAGGTCTCCAAACTGAAACTTCACCCTCACAAAATGTGTTTTTACCACTGTACTACCACCTGGTTCCATTTTCAACTTTTCATCTCTTCAATTTCCTTTACAATTATCCTGGTAAGCATCTTCTACAATTTCCTGCCATGAAGTCTTTTGTAATGTGTTACTATCCAAACCTGGTATTATTAGCCCATGGCCACATTCTATATTTTTTCCATGAATTTCTAGTGAACTAAATGACAGAATAGCCACCGGCTTCTTTAATAGTGTTTACCTTACTTCACCTTACAATGAACTTTCTCTTGCTTGAACATCATGTTCTCTTACCAAACTGAGAGCTCTTTGATGGAGTAATATTATCTTATATATTTTTACATGTAATTCCACAAACATTCCCTTTCTCACTGAGTATGTTTAAGACATGCTTACTTATTTAATTTGTTAATTTGGAAGAACTAAGTAGAAAAATACTTAGGTGCCATTGATTGCTTTAATAACAAATAATACATTTACATTCATGTTTCAAAACTATTTTACTTTTTTCTCAATAAATATGGCAAGTTACCTATTCATTTACAACATTCCTTAAAAATGTAAGAAGGACTGTGGAAGAAGAGACATTACTGTTGATGAATTCTGACTTCCCACAAAGTAGAGTAGTAAAAGGTTTATTATTCTGTCAATTATTTCCAAACAATGACCATTCTTTTCTGGACTGGTTCATGTGTACTCTAACAATTCTAACACAACCTGACACTAAATGGAACTAAGCGACAGAATAAACTAATATTAGAAAACAACAGCGTGTTACTGTTGACCCATACATTGAAACTGCTCAAAACTAAAATGCCCTTATCACTCCAGAAAATCACAGGTCTTCTTTTCTTTGTTCCTCAAATTAGAGATAGTGAACTACTCACAAAGAAAATGAAGAAAACATTTAAAAAGTGTATTTTTAAGAAAGGAAATAGCTATCATCAGAGTTCAGAAACTAGAAAATAGATACTCTTAAATTGCTAGAATTGCTAGTTGAAGAAGTAGTCACAATTCTTTTTTTTTTTTTTTTTGAGAGATTTTCGCTATAGGGTGCTTGCGCTCGCCAGACAGACGGAGAGAGACATTAGAGACAGAAAGCTAGAAATCACCCCCTGGGGGGATGGTCACGCCGCAATCCCTTCTCCTCCATTCTCCTCTTGGGATCTTGGGCACGCATGCACACGTGCCCAGCGTGAATTTTAAGCCACCGGGTCCGGGACACGAACCACGGTCGAATACATGGGAGTCCAGCGACATAGCCATTACGCTAACTGCTGGTTCCCAGTAGTCACAATTCTTAAAAATCTAGCAATCAATGCACTGAATAATATATCTCCTCTTCCTGTGTACTCTTTCATGAAAACAAAATAAAATAAATTAAAAAATAAAGAGAAACTTTGCTTAGATGCACACAAAATGAAGAATTGTCAAGAGACATAAAAGGTGATTTTCCTATGGAAGATAGTAAAAGCATTTATATCAAGAACAGGTTGTTGTTGTTTTGTTTTGTTTTTAATTTTGCTATAGGTACATTGCTTACTGGAGAGAGAGAGACAGAGAGAGACAAAGTGACTGCTGAGGAGGATGACCACAGTACAGTCTCTTCTTCCCCATTCTTCTCTTGGGACTTTGGGCAGGCACTCACATGTACCTGGTGTGTTTTTCTAGCCACCATGTAGGACACTCAAACTGTACAGTCGACCATGTGGGATCCTGCCGTATTAACCACCATGCCGCCACCTGGCTTGTCAAGAACTGCTTTAAATTTTATTTCACTTATTACAATATTGAGATACTTTTCAATCTAACTTATTGCTCTGCTTTGTAGGTTAAAATTAAGATGTATTAAACAATGTTTATAGAGTATTGTTTAAGGCATTACTCTTTGTTGCTGAAATTATAAGTTTTAAGATTAAATTCAATGTCATAATGGTTATGTCTCTGGGTTCCCTCATAGCCAACTGGTGTCTGAGTCTCGGACCCAGTGGCCTAAACATCACGCCAGGCATATGTGCATGTATGTCCCAGATCCCAAGAGGAGAATGGAGGAGAAGGGATTGCAGAGTGTTGATACCCCCTGGGGAGTCTGTTGTCTTGCTTTTTGTCTGTCTGTCTCTCTCTGACTCTGGCGAGCACACTCACCCTATAGCAAAAATCTGTCTTTAAAAAAAAAATAAGGAAAAAAAATTAAATTTAAATAGGCAAACTTAAAACAGACCATTAATTACATTTTAAGTAAAATAATTATGACATAATTTTGGCACAGTAGTTCACTAAACTGTGTCTTTTGATAATTAATTAATGTAGCTTTGTTCTCCATATATTTATGATTAATAGCAAGCCTACTTTTAAAAATATCAGATGCAACTAATTGATGTAATTAGACCATGAAAATGAATGAAATTTTGTGACATATTAGGCAGTAACTCATTCAAATGAAGTTCCTAATTTTTTAGCTTCCAAAGTTGGATCAATTTTAGATAAGTAATTTATATGACTGAATTATATTCCAATTTATGAGCACAAAAATATTGAGCACTGTACAGTCTTTTGAAGTACTGCCAAAGACTCAAGAATTTTAGTGCTGAGAAGGTTAAGTGTATAAATGTTTAATGACCTAAACTAACAAGCCAAACTTTTTTTAATGCAATAAAAATAAATGGTATAGTTCAAAGCAGTGTCAATTGCTAATTTATGAACTATTAAACCTTACCACCTGGGCTAGGTATTGCCAATCATAGTCTTTTAATGTAGAATGTGTTTGTGAAAGCCAATAATATAGTTGGAATTTACTGCAGATAATGCATTCAAATAGAATTGGAAACAAGAATTTGAATTACCATTTTCAGTGGTAATGAGTGGGTTTATAG